GTATATGATATCCTGATATCCTAACTACTTAGTTTTGTTAGCTGTAGAAATATTACCAAATGTTTAATTCAAAATGAAAATATGCCAAAAAATATGACAAAATTGAAAAAATATGAGAAAATTTTACAAAATTAATATTTTCATCTTTAGAGAGATATTTTTATGCGATTTTTTTAGACGTTTTTCCTTTCCTGCCAAGAGGCCATTCTGAATTAATGAGAACTGTCGAAATCAGTTCAGCCGTTCTCGACATATATGAGATCTTTCAAGCATATCTTCTTTGATAGACATATATATCGCATATATTTGCTATATATTCGATTTTTTGGATCTTAACATCAATGTAAAGGTCAGAAGTAACCTTGTCATGGCTTTGTGATTTCGCCGGGATTTAAAATATTCGCGGTTTTATGAAAAATTTTGAATTTTTTCAACAAAAAAGATATGGCCTATTTTACCCGCTAAATATTATCCGATGACCACCCAATTTGGTAGGCTTCTTCCCCGCCCTAAACTCTAGCTACATGCGAAATTCCGCGTCGATTGGTCTATAATTGCGACCTGTATAGCTACTGCAAAATCCGAAATTTTTTCAGTATTTGGTCCATTTGAACCCCTAAACATTTGGCGATCATAGCTAGATCGACTCAGCTCGGCGAGCTAGGAAGATCCATATATACTTTCCTATGTGGAAAATCAATATTTCGTGGTGTTACATAATTTTTGGCCCAATCAAACTTATAATACCCCCAACACATAGTGTTGTAGGGTATAAATATAAAACTATCATATATTTTGAAATCATAATTATACCCTACACCACATAGTGGTAAGGGTATTATGTCTTTGTGCATTTGTTTGTAACATGGAGAATGAAACGAGATAGACCCATAGTTACTTTTGAGAACCTTCATAGAATCACTTTCTGAGTCGATTTATGCATGTCAGTCCGTCTGTCCGTCCGTCCGTCCGTCCGTCCGTCCGTCCGTCTGTCCATGTATTCTTGTGAACAAAATGCAGGTCGCATTTATTATCCGATTGAGATGAAATTTTCCAAACAATATTTTTTTGGCCCAAGGACGAACCCTATTGAAATTGGTGAGAATCGGATCAAATTTAGATATAGCTCCCATATATATCTTCATCCGATTTCGGGTTAAATGTGCACCAAATATCCACTATCAGTCCAAATTACCTGAATTTTGGCAAACCCAACCGAGTTCGACCTAGAAGCAAGTATATCAAATTTGGAGAAAATCGGTTCAGATATAGCTATAGCTCCCATATATATCTTTCATCCGATTTGATCTTTAAGTCCCTCACATTCCTACTATGCACTCCACAACCGTGATATTTGGTACCAGGTATTAGATGGAGCACAGAAATAGCTGTTTTAAATTTTATCGGAATCGGTTCAGATTTGGATATAGCTCCCATATATATCTTCATCCGATTTCGGGTTAATTGACCACCAAATGGCCAATATCAGCCCAAATGGCCCGAATTTTGGCACATGTGACCGAGATTAGCCTTAAAGCAAATACAACAAATTTGGAGAAAATCGGTTCAGATTTGGATATAGCTCCCATATATATATTCATCCGATTTCGGGTTAAATGTGCACAAAATGTCCACTATCAGTCCAAATTACCTGAATTTGGGCACACCCAACCGAGTTCGGCCTAGAAGCAAGTATATCAAATTTAGTGAAAATCGGTTCAGATATAGATATAGCAACCATATATATGTTTCATCCGATTTAGAGTTTTAGTCCCACACATTCGTAATATTCACTCCACAACCGTGATATTTGGTACCAGGTATTAGATGGAGCACAGGAATAGCTGTTTTAAATTTTATCGAAATCGGTTCAGATTTGGATATAGCTCTCATATATATCTTCATCCGATTTCGGGTTAAATGTGCACTAAATGGTCAATATCAGCCCAAATCACCAGTCTAGAAGCTAACACGTAAAATTTGGAGAAACCCGGTTCAGAGATAGCTATAGTTCGTAAAATGCACGATAGAATTAGATAGATTTTGATTTTGTACCAAATATCTCATAGAGCTCTGAAATGCCCTGTATAAACCTTTTTACGAGAGCTCTACTAAATATGCATAGTGGTGTAGGGTATCATATAGTCGGCCCCGCCCGACTTTTGCGCTTTCCTTACTGGTTTTATTTTAAATTCAACACATACATAATAATGGAGTACATACAGACATCGATGTATTTTCTCAGAATTGATACTTACTCTCCAAAACTATGTTTTTTTGTACAAGAAAAAAACTTAATGGCTGTTTCGGAATCCGCTACAATTCCATCATCAGCATCCATGTGCATGATTTGTCAAATTTTGAGAGTGTATCTCAATATATGTATATGGCCTATTTTACCCGCTAAATATTATCCGATGACCACCCAATTTGGTAGGCTTCTTCCCCGCCCTAAACTCTAGCTACATGCGAAATTCCGCGTCGATTGGTCTATAATTGCGACCTGTATAGCTACTGCAAAATCCGAAATTTTTTCAGTATTTGGTCCATTTGAACCCCTAAACATTTGGCGATCATAGCTAGATCGACTCAGCTCGGCGAGCTAGGAAGATCCATATATACTTTCCTATGTGGAAAATCAATATTTCGTGGTGTTACATAATTTTTGGCCCAATCAAACTTATAATACCCCCAACACATAGTGTTGTAGGGTATAAATATAAAACTATCATATATTTTGAAATCATAATTATACCCTACACCACATAGTGGTAAGGGTATTATGTCTTTGTGCATTTGTTTGTAACATGGAGAATGAAACGAGATAGACCCATAGTTACTTTTGAGAACCTTCATAGAATCACTTTCTGAGTCGATTTATGCATGTCAGTCCGTCTGTCCGTCCGTCCGTCCGTCCGTCCGTCCGTCCGTCTGTCCATGTATTCTTGTGAACAAAATGCAGGTCGCATTTATTATCCGATTGAGATGAAATTTTCCAAACAATATTTTTTTGGCCCAAGGACGAACCCTATTGAAATTGGTGAGAATCGGATCAAATTTAGATATAGCTCCCATATATATCTTCATCCGATTTCGGGTTAAATGTGCACCAAATATCCACTATCAGTCCAAATTACCTGAATTTTGGCAAACCCAACCGAGTTCGACCTAGAAGCAAGTATATCAAATTTGGAGAAAATCGGTTCAGATATAGCTATAGCTCCCATATATATCTTTCATCCGATTTGATCTTTAAGTCCCTCACATTCCTACTATGCACTCCACAACCGTGATATTTGGTACCAGGTATTAGATGGAGCACAGAAATAGCTGTTTTAAATTTTATCGGAATCGGTTCAGATTTGGATATAGCTCCCATATATATCTTCATCCGATTTCGGGTTAATTGACCACCAAATGGCCAATATCAGCCCAAATGGCCCGAATTTTGGCACATGTGACCGAGATTAGCCTTAAAGCAAATACAACAAATTTGGAGAAAATCGGTTCAGATTTGGATATAGCTCCCATATATATATTCATCCGATTTCGGGTTAAATGTGCACAAAATGTCCACTATCAGTCCAAATTACCTGAATTTGGGCACACCCAACCGAGTTCGGCCTAGAAGCAAGTATATCAAATTTAGTGAAAATCGGTTCAGATATAGATATAGCAACCATATATATGTTTCATCCGATTTAGAGTTTTAGTCCCACACATTCGTAATATTCACTCCACAACCGTGATATTTGGTACCAGGTATTAGATGGAGCACAGGAATAGCTGTTTTAAATTTTATCGAAATCGGTTCAGATTTGGATATAGCTCTCATATATATCTTCATCCGATTTCGGGTTAAATGTGCACTAAATGGTCAATATCAGCCCAAATCACCAGTCTAGAAGCTAACACGTAAAATTTGGAGAAACCCGGTTCAGAGATAGCTATAGTTCGTAAAATGCACGATAGAATTAGATAGATTTTGATTTTGTACCAAATATCTCATAGAGCTCTGAAATGCCCTGTATAAACCTTTTTACGAGAGCTCTACTAAATATGCATAGTGGTGTAGGGTATCATATAGTCGGCCCCGCCCGACTTTTGCGCTTTCCTTACTGGTTTTATTTTAAATTCAACACATACATAATAATGGAGTACATACAGACATCGATGTATTTTCTCAGAATTGATACTTACTCTCCAAAACTATGTTTTTTTGTACAAGAAAAAAACTTAATGGCTGTTTCGGAATCCGCTACAATTCCATCATCAGCATCCATGTGCATGATTTGTCAAATTTTGAGAGTGTATCTCAAAATATACGATAACAATGCACAGCAGGATGGACAGCCATTTCGGCATTCGCAACGATTAGCTTCGAGCGTGTTACTTCGCAATGCCAGTAATTTGGACAATAGTTTAGCATAACAGTTGTCGGATTTCCAATGGTTTTTTTACTAGTTTGAAATTATATTTATACCAGTTTTCAAAAACACGTATCCAACTGTGCCCAGATTAAATTCAATACAGTTGAGAATTGTGAAACGATATCCAGTAGTGGATATAATCTCAAAAGTTCATTACAGGAAGTATCTTTCAAATCATATGCTTAACTATTGCTTTCAAATGGAGGAGATAATCCCCTCCGAAGAAAGGAAATTATTGGTACCGCTAAAAAGACACTCTCGAACCTGATGCAAATTCCATCAAATATGCTATAAGTGCATAACCAGTTACCAATATGCTTGTTATGCCTTTATCTCTTATATTTGCGGGAATTATAGCGAATGCCGAATGATAGCTGTCCCTAACATGTTCTCCATTAATACCATACAAATGACAAAAAAAAAGTCGAGAGCATAGGGTAAGTGTGTGATTTTACGCCAATAAAAAACAACAAGGCAAATATGTACTGAGATCTAAATTATTATTCTGCATTTGGCAGGGCTCATGAATGCATGCGGAAATTATTATTGAAAAAAAAAAAACGGTAATTTTTATATTGGATTCTGATTACTTACTGCGCTCCGTTCCATAATTAGCATCAGTTAGAGTTAACAAACCGGATTGTTCACCAGGTAATTGGGTTGGTGTTGTCAATTCCGAATTGTCTTCATCATTTCCCAGTAACAGGCGGTGGTATTCAGTGTTATTGTTCTAAATTAGGAGAGAAAAAAATTTTTTAATTAATTACATTTGAAGCTGAAGAATCTTCACATGGCAAATGATATATTCAATTTATAAGGTGTCTGTAATAAAGATCTGGGTGAAGCCTTTATTCTGACACTGTGGTGCAGCAATCGGTTTATGTGGAAATTTAAGAAATTTTTAATTGACAATGCTCCCATTATTTAACTACGAAAGGAAATTTGAATATGCCAATGGAACGTAGATAATTTTCAAGACTGGCTTAATTTGAGTTTGGATTTCAATATATAGACACAGCAATTATGGCTATGGCGATAAAACTAGCGTAAAACATCATCCAATAAGAAACCGATAGAATTGTCAGACTGAGAAGCTGAAGTATTGTTCTTGGTAGAAGACTCATCAAAATCAGAGTTGGGAGTTCTCTGGAAAAATAGCAGACAATGCTAGGAAGATTATGGTAATAACGGACGAAAAAGTTCGCATTCAAGAAGAACTTTTTAAGGAAGAAAATAAATAAAACGCATTTAAGACTTGAAGGAGCTGCTCCAGATAGAGCTGGACTCAGAGGCTAATGGTGACTCAATGGAGGATATTTTATGTTTGTCAATTGGAAAATCTTCATCATTCATTCAATAAAGAAACCGATGGAATAACCTGTGTATGGTAACCTTAAGTATTGTTACCAGTGTTGCCGTTAGAAATTTTTATTTCAGCCCAAATTTTTTCTAAAAACCGCCCAAAATCGACCAAATCCGCCCAAACTATAAAAAGTTGAATAATTTAAATATAGTTTGTATTCAAGTAAATTTTATTGAAAATTTTACAATATACATAAAGAAGGTACTCAAGTTTTATTACATTCAATTCAATGGGGGGGGCTCGGGTCAGAATAACCCTTATTTCTTTTGGAGATGATTGCATAATATTTAAGGGTTGAAATGGACCAAAAACTGAAAAAATTACTGATTTTGCAGTTGATCTACAGGTGGCAATTATAGACCAATCGACACGAAAGTTAGCATGGGGCTAGAGCTTAGGGCTGGACAGAAGCCTTCCAATTTAGATGGTCATCGGGTAATATTTAGTGGTTGAAATAGGCCACAACATTTGTGTTAAATAAAAGTCAAATTTTTCATTAAACCGCGAATATTTTTAATCCCGGCGAAATCACAACTAGACGAACAGATCAACTCTGACCGTTACGTAGATGCCGATAGTAAATATATCGGATGTTTATAGCGAAATATATACAATGTATATATAAGAGGGAGGGGGATGTTAGCTAGAATGCTTATATCTCAAGATTGGCTGTACCGATTTCGTCAAATTTTGTCAATTCAGAATGCCCTCTTAACATAAAAGTATAAAATCTAAAAAAAATCGCATAAAAAGATGCCTATAATGATGTTAATATAGATTTTGCAGAATTTTGTGACATTTTTTTATTTTTTCATATTTTTTATCGCATGCGATTTTTTCAATTTGACTTATACTACTGAAAAGATAGGTAGGCACAGGGAAGAATTCTGGCATTTTGGATGACCATTGGAATATATTTAGCCGTAAAGTGGACCACAAAAACTAACAGCACGACGGAGTGCATAAATATTGGGAAAATGTCCCTGGTCAAAATGCTGGGTTGCCCATATTCGACGGACCCATGACTCTTTGGGCCCATTCCAATCGACGAGTCTTGTCCGCAGGCAACATTCTTTGTGTCAATTGAATTTTGTACGGGAACAAATGCAAATCAATGCGAATAATCCGTTGTAAAGTGGACCGAACCATGCCCAACTGCTGAGAAGGGCGTTTTTGGGATGTTTTTGGGGACCTCTCAATACTGGCTCGTACGGCAGCGATATTCTCGGCCGATCGCCTTGGTCGACTTTTATATGGCCTCTTCGGATTAGAAAGAGCCTTACCAGTCGAAAATGTTTCGTATAAACGTCTAATGGTGCTCTTAGAAAGCGCACTTCTCACATTTTTTAATGTTTTAAAAGCACGTTGAGTTTTCACAATTGACTTCTTCTGTTAAATGTAAATTTCAACTATTTCGCGTGGCGTGTATTGGTTCATGGTAAAAATCTGCTTGGACTGACGCTTCAAACGCAGTATGTCATTAAGCGATGTGACATCTCTGTCAAAAGTTATGGCGTTGCCAGATGAGTCCGTCGAATATGGACAACTCTGTATGTTGGAGTGCTCCGTGACATAATTTTTAAAGCGAAATCTTTAAAAATGGATTTGGACATGAGGGGGCTTCTAACATATTGTAGTGTTGTAGGGTATCACATGGTCGGCCCCGCACGACTATAGCCTAATGTATTATATATATATATATATATATATATATTATTAAAAAACTTAACAAAAATCTATAAAATAAATAACGATTCATCTCAATAAAAAAAATATAAAATTTAGTTAGTAATAAAAAAAAATTAAATTACATAAAAATAAACAATGAAAAATAAATTTGTACCCAATATGGAAAAAATCCGCCCAAAATCCGCCCAAACCACAAAATTTATCTTTTTTCCGCCCAAATTTGGACGGAAACGCCCAAAACGGCAACACTGATTGTTACTGGTAGAAGACATATCAAAATCGGAGATAAGTCTTCTCTGCATTAACAGCCGGCAATTCCACGAAAAAAAAACTAACTAAAAACGGTCGAAAATGTTCGAATTGACGAAGAATTTGTCGGAAATATAAACAATAGAATATATAAGCATTGAAAAGACAGTTTTCGACAGAACTGTGCTCTGAGGCGCACGGCATTTCCCAACGTTTGCAGCAAATTGGAACCGATAATGATACTATAAAGCAAATTCTTTACTAATTTAACGATAATTCCCGTCGAATTTCGCTCCTGGAACAAAATCTGGCCATCTTTGGAAGTTAAAGAAAAATTAGGAATTGATCTTCGCTTCTTGAGAGTTATTTCTCTTTTGCCTTGGAGACTATGTCAATGCAGAAGATGTTATAATTTGGGAAAAGAGCTACACTATTTGGTTTCTGAAGATAAAATCTATCTTATGGCAAAAACAGTTACTGCAATCCTGTCTAAAGTTGAGGAAGTGGCACTGCATGCATGTGAGACAGGCCTTATAATCGACAAAGACGCAGACAAAGTTATGTGTATTTCAAACAAGAATACAACGCTAAGAGACGTAACAGTAGCAGATGTTGGTAAGATTTGCTTCCTAGGCAGCATTTTTAGCAAAAAATGGATGCGTATTTGCTGATTTGACCAGAAAATATCAATGACAAAAAAATTTAAACTATTTCGAAGATATTTGAAGTGTTACAAATATCCAGTGGGATCCACGTGGCCTGATGATATACATTTGTCACAAAATCCCTATACTTGGAAAAAAACAATATATCGATGTACCTATAGTTATGCCAATAAGAAAACAGTTTTAAAGTTTCTTATGGCGGAAAAAAACTGAAAAGGAAGAAGAATGAACAAAATATGTGGAAACGTCTATGTTTAAACTTTATGCATAGGTCATCGAGAGGAACTTCACACGAAGATGCTATTGTAAACCAGATTCGTTACAAGAAATGGGGTTTAATTGGTAAAATTTTAAGAAAATCAAATTCAATTATCTCCGAACAGAGTTTCCGGTGGAATTCGTAAGGCAAGGGAAGCATAGGACGTCCAAGATTCAATATTCAAAGAAAATAGTAGAGGGTAGTTTGGACAAAATTGGATCCACCTGGCCTGAACTGATACGTTTGTAACAAGATCCATATTATGTGGAGGAAGTTTATACATGGATATATTTACAGTTATGCCCATAAGAAACAAAGCTCGACAAGATTCTTCAGGGAAGGACAAATGCAGCTAAGTTGGTCCGAACTTTTAATTTCCACCAAAAGGAAACTTTTCTGAAATTACGTTTTATGTCTCTAAAATTATTAAAATACCGAATAGCTGGTGGCTGTTGTGTGGGTATATGGCCAATTATCTGTCAGACAAGAGGGTACCTATTGCGAACCCCAAAAAACAATTTTAGAATAATCCAACCGAAATACCAGTTGTACAAAATACTTTGTACATACTTTTACATAGGTGAGGCGCCGGAACTAACAATTAAAAATAAATATTCCAAAATGATCAATTATTCAACTCCCATAAAAATACAACATGTGCAGAATTCAGTGATCTTTCAGCCTAAGATAATAAAGTTTATGACCCACACACACAGATATCGATGTGATCAGTGGTTATGCAAGACAACTTTATTGAAAGGACAAGGAGCCCTGCAATGTTCTCCATTCAATATTAAAATAGATGAGAATAATTGTGTGACTGCGATTAGTTTAAGTTAGATTAGTTTTAGTAGTACTTAAGGTATATATTTTTAAATAAACACCAGAATTGACACAACAATCGAATCATAAGGTTCTTCAGCTGGATTCCAGCCGCTTAATGTTCTCCATTCAATATTAGAATAGATACGAACAATTGTGTGACTGCGATTAGTTTAAGTTAGATTAGTTTTAGTAGTACTTAGGGAATATATTTTTAAATAAAAACCAGAATTGAATCAACAATCGAAGCATAAGGTCCTTTGAGCTGGATTCCAGCCCTGCAATGTACTCCATTCAATATTATTATAGATACGAAAAATTGTATGACTGCGATTAGCTTATGTTAGGGATTATTTTTTAATTAAAAAGCAGAATTGATACAACAGTCGAAGATTAAGATCCTTCGAGCTGGATAAAGGATTGAATTGACAACCGAAGGCCGACGTTGTATTTCATTCTCATTTTTTACACCAGGAGGCACCATTGTATGGGTGATGTACGCAATGTTTTGTCGTGATAGGTTACAAATACTAAATTCAAAAAAAAAAAAAGAAAAAAAAAAAAAAACAAAAATGTGACAGAACATTTCCTCCATATTGAGAATATAAATTGACAAACTTTGTATTCTGGTATAAAAAAATGGAGGTTGATGTGGCCCTCATTAGGAAGACCATATATATATATATACATGTGATATAACGCCCTCTTGATATTTCAGCGTTATCGCACTACCATCTCTATACTCACCTCACAGTCCGATGTATTGGCAAAAAACATTGTCAGATCTCTCCATATCAGGGTATCATTTTGTATGTAATAAACAAAAATATTGGCCTTGGGTATCATGTCCGTGGTGGGTGTTATGGTTATATAGTCAGTGGTATGTTCTCCGCCGATATTGAAATATTGATGCTTAACAATTTTGCCATTGGCCATTACATCGGCGATAGCATATTTAATTGGCTCCGTGGCATTGATTTTAATCAATCGATCATTGGCAACGCGACGTCTAGAAGAATTAAAAAAAAAAAATAAATATTTGGGGCCCCTTTTAAAAGTTTAACACTTACACTTCCCGTTTAAAGTTCAACTTCAAGGGGCCGAAACGCTTAGCGGTGATATTTTTCAGAGTTTCGTCTGGTTGTTCAGTCACAACTTCCATTGCATTATCACCATTTTCGTAAATCAAATCGGTTGAGTTGAAAAACTCCACACCGCTAAGACCGCGCACCTTCAAGGTGTAGGTGCCATTGTTCAGATTCGGAGGTGTATTGAAGCGTGCCACAGAGGTTTTGTAGTCTTCGAATTCGATAGTTTGGCTGGCATTGTACGTTGGCGAGGTGATGGAAACTTCCGCCAAGGCTGGTACGGTATTTTCCGGTAGGGTAACACTAACGGCATATTCACTATTCGGTCGTATGGTCTTGGGTGCGACAGCAATGTACGATCTGAAAGAGAGCAAGGTGATGGATAATTAAAATGTAAATAAATTTTCCTCGACAAATATTTCTAGTTTTTAGAAAATATGAAAAAAAACTGAGTTTGTGGTTCGGATAGTCCCTCAAAAAGAGACTCAAAAAATCGGTTTTGTAGTTGGTATAGTATTTAAATAAGGGCAGTGGTAAAATATTCATTAAAATCTAAATATTCTAAAGGAAATACACTGCGCTACAAAATTACATTTTTTTTTTCAAAAATTAGCGGAAAAATCCAGTAGATTATGAAAGTAGGCATAGAAATGGAAGATACGCGTATCGGCGTTTTGAAAATTTATTTTAATTTTGAAAATTTACCTTAACAAATAACGTAAATAGAAGGGGCAAGTTTCCCTCTCGAAAATATTTTTTTGCTTTTTTCGGATTGAGATTCTTGATACGATTATTTTATCTACATAGTGTCTTGGGCAATATTACAAATAACAATGCGAGGATTATTTTCGCGAACAGTTTTAACCCTCCAGCGAGTCAAAAATAGGGACTTTTTGGTCCATCTTTCAAAGTATGGCTTAAAACTCCCCTTAAACATGATCGTAGCAAGTCAAGATATTCTACAAATTTATTCGTCATTAAATTTTACCGTGGAATTTTAGGGTTAAAGACGTTCTTAATGTTTGCTCTATGCAAAATTCTCCTACAAAGAAGCATTTTTCATTTTCACCATAAGTTATAGAAGAAAAGAAATCTCGATAACCATTATATATCAAACAAGTAAAAAAGCTGTAAATTCGACCGGGCCGAACTTTGAAAAACCTCCACCATTTGGAAAGAATTTGGCAATTCTCAAAAACAATAAAATCCGTTAAAAATTCTGTTAAAATCTTAAAAATACCGAATGTAGCTGTTATATTAGGGTCTATACGATGACATGAAACTGCATAGGTAATCCTGGTCATAAGCCGGTGAATAATGTAGCTAAAATCATAAAAATACCGAATATCGGGAGGTACTATTATATGGGGGCTATACGAAGACGTGAACCTGCACAGACAATTTTCTGTCTTAGGCTGTAGTACCCATTACGAGCTTCAAATACCAAATTTGAATGAATTCCGGTGAATAATGCCGCTAAAATCATCAAAATACCGAATATCGGGAGGTAATGTTATATGGGGGCTATACGAAGACGTGAAGACAATTTTCTGTCTTAGGCTGTAGTACCCATTACGAGCTTCAAATACCAAATTTGAAACAATTCCGGTGAATAATGTAGCTGAAATCATAAAAATACGGAATATCGGGAGGTACTGTTATATGGGGGCTATACGAAGACGTGGACCTGCACAGAAATTTTTCTGTCTTAGGCTGTAGTGCCCATTACGAGCTTCAAATACCAAATTTGAAACAATTCCGTTGAATAATGTCGCTAAAGTCATCAAAATACCGAATATCGGAGGGTACCGTTATATGGGGGCTATACGAAGACTTGGATCTGCACATCCATTTTTCTGTCTTAGGCTGTAGTATCCATTACGAACATCAAATGCGAAATTTGAAACAATTCCGGTGAATAATGTAGCTAAAATAATCAAAATACCGAATATTGGGAGGTACCTTTATATGGGGGCTATACGAAGACGTGGAGACAATTTTCTGTCTTAGGCTGTAGTACCCATTACGAGCTTCAAATACCAAATTTGAAATAATTCCGGTGAATAATGTCGCTAAAATCATCAGAATACCGAATATTGGGAGGTACCGTTATATGGGGGCAATAAGAAGACGTGGTCCTGCACAGACAATTTTTTGTCTTATGCTGTAGTACCCATTACGAGCTTCAAATACCAAATTTGAAATAATTCCGGTGAATTATGTGGCTAAAATCTTCAAAATACCGAATATCGGTAGGTACCGCTACATGGGGGATATACGAAGACGTGGACCTACATGGCCCATTTTCAATACCAAAAGTCCTGCAGACATAATACACATTTGAGTAAAATTTTATCAACCTACTTCATTTCGTTCGGAAGCTAGAGTGATGTCCACAGACGGACAGACGGATAGACGGACGGACATTGATAAATCGACATAGAATTTTATGCTGATCAAGAATATATATACTTTGTAGGGTCCAAAATGTATATTTCGAGGTGTTACAAACGGAATGACAAAGTTAATATACCCTCCATACTATGGTGGAGAGTATAATAAGTTCGCGATGGTTCTAAACTCCTGAATAACACATTTTATTGTGGACCTCGTAACTACATCAAAAGCCCTATTTCAAAAGAGAGCAAAAAACCTTAGATGTCAATCATGCAACAATGTTTCATAGATTGGGCCAATGATTTTCCAATAAGGCCTTATCGCTAATTCCAATATTTTTCAATAGTCTATGCTGTTCCTATGAACAACAAAACAAAATAGTATATAAGATTATCGAGGAGATTCAAACCCTTGTATAAATACTGCGGGAATTGGAGGTTCTATGAGGACCCTAGAAACAATTTCATTTTAACCATTCATATGGTCAAAAGACTTTCTACAGGTCTTCTGTGGATAGAACCCCCTTAGTAGATATACTACAGGTTTTCTATGACCAGAGGACTATCTGCAAGTTTCCCATGGACTGAAGACCTTCTGTAGGTCTTCTAAGAAGACTTTATACGGGTCTTCTATGCCCCTAAGATTTTCTGCACTAGTCCTACCTGCTGGTCCTCTGTGGATAGACAGGTTTTGTATGTCCAAACGACTTACTACATGTTGTCTATGGCCAGATGATCTTCTGCAGGTCTTTTATGGCAAGAAGACATACAGGTCTTCTATGGTTGAAAGACATTCTACAGGTCTTTTATGGCCAGAAGACCTTCTACAGGTCTGCTATGGGCAAATGATCGTCTGTAGGTTTTCTATGACCAGCAGACCTTCTGCCGTTTTTCTATGGCCAAAAGAACTTCTACATACTAGACTTCTATGGTCAGAAGATCTTCTGCAGGTCTTCTATGGCAAGAAGACATATAGGTCTTCTATGGTCGAAAGACATTCTACAGGTCTTTTATGACCAGAAGACTTTCTACAGGTCTGCTATGGCCAAATGATCGCCTGTATTTTTTCTATGGGCAGCAGAACTTCTGCCGTTTTTCTAGGGCCAAAAGAATTTCTACATACTAGACTTCTATGGCCAGAAGATCTTTTGCAGGTCTTCTATGGCAAAAAGACATAGGTGTTCTACAGGTCTTTTATGGCCAGAAAACCTTCTACTGATATGCTATGGCCAGAAGATCCCCTACTGGTCATTCTTCCAAATGATCTCCTGTAGGTTTTATATGGCCACCAGACCTTCTGCCGTTTTTCTATGGCTAGCAGACCTTCTACTGGTCTTCTATGGCCAGAAGAACTTCTGCAAGTCCTCTATGACCAGAAGAACTTCTGCGAGTCTTCTATGGCAAGAAGACCTACAGGTCTTCTATGGTCGGACGACATTTTACAGGTCTTTTACTGGTCCTCTATGACCAAATGATCTCCTGTAGTTTTTCTATGGCCAGCAGACCCCTTACTGGTCTTCTATGGCCAGAGCAACTTCTACTGGAATTCTATGATTAGAAGATCTTCTGCAGGTCTCTGATAATGGAAGACCTCCTACAAGTCGCCTGTGGACAAAAGACCTCCTAAAAGTTTTCTCTAGAAGACCTTCTACTGGTCTCCTGTGGATACAAGAAACTTTGAAGATATTCTATAGGCCAGAAGACATTCTGAAGGTTTTCTATGGTCAGTAGATATTCCAAAGGTTTTGTATGTCAAAAAGATTTCTTACAGGTTTTCCATGGATGCAAGTCCTCTGTGGCCAGAAGATCTTCTGCATGACATGAAGATCTTCTACAGGTCTTCTTTGGCCACAAGACTTTCGCAGGTTTTGTATGTCAAATAGACTTCCTACAGGTTTTCTATGGACATAAGACATTATGCAGGTCTTCTATGGCCAGAAGACCTTTTTAATGGTCTTCCATGAATAAAAGACCTTCTGGAAGTGTTTCATGACCAAAAGACCCGGTCTCTTATAGAGATATTCTACTGGTCCTCTCTGACCAAATGATCTCCTGTAGTTTTTCTTTGGCCAGCAGACTTTCTACTGGTATTCTATAGCCAGAGCAAAATCTACTGGAATTCTATGGTCAGAAGATCTTATGCAGGTACTCTGATAATGGAAAACCTCCTACAAGTCCCCTGTGGACAGAAGACCTCCTACAAGTTGTCTGTAGACAGAAGACCTTTTACTGGTCATCTGCGGATACAAGAAACTTTGAAGGTCTTATATAGGCCAGAAGACATTCAGAAGGTTTTCCATGGTCAGTAGACATTCCAAAGGTTTTGTATGTCAAAAAGATTTCTTACAGGTTTTCCATGGATGGAAGATATCCTGCAAGTCCTCTGTGCTCAGAAGATCTTCTGCATGACATGAAGATCTTCTACAGGTCTTCATTGGCCACAAGACTTTCGCTGGTTGTGTATGTCAAACAGACTTCCTACAAGTTTTCTATCGACATAAGACATTATGCAGGTCTTCTATGGCCAGAAGACCTTTTGATGGTCTTCCATGAATAGAAAACCTTCTGCAAGTGTTCCATGACCAAAAGACCTGGTCTCTTATGGATAGAAGACCCTCCGTAGGTTTTCTATGTCTAGAAGACCTTCCATTGGTCATCTATGGATTCTATGACCAGAAGACCTTCCATTGATCATTTATGGATAGAAGACCCTCTGTGGGTCTTCTACACTCTGTATAATATTTTAAAAACCATAACTGGATTCACCAACTAATTTCCCTGGCATTGTCCTTATAAAAGGAAGCTCGTTTGGGTATTGCATCCCGATACTTATAATTTCAATAAGTTTCATTGCCTTTTTATAGCCTCCACTATAAATTTTTGGTCGGAACCTTTTTACTTTTTTAACCTTGTTTTTCATAAAATATTTTCTCTTGTTTTGTACGCTTTTCGCTTCAGGCAATACTCACCCCTTTCCCTTGCTTAGCCGAACGGCTAGGATGCAAAAAATCAAGGCGAAAATTGTCTTTCGATTCATATTGTTTTCGGGGATATGAAATATCACACCGATAAATTTTCAACGCACGATACTTTGTTGTTGTTGATGAAAAGAAAAACTTCCGAAACGAAACGAGCTCTTGCACAGAGATTTGGTCGATTCAAGTGTTCACTTGAGACTGATTGTTCGTTGATGTCGTTGGATGGATGGATGCTTAGTTCGATGATGCCTTTTGTCGACGACTTTGATTATTTGAGAATCTCCTCCGAAAGAGAGAGAGATGTTTTTACAATTATCCGGCTTATTGTTGGGTGTTTTTGTTCGATTTTCCAATTATGCGGGGGATATTAATGGAATATCAAACCTAGAAATAGACAAAGATCGATTGGTGGAAGTTTTCTGAGGCTACCGATTACAGTAATTAGATACTCCCACTCTCTCACTATTTCGCCCCTCGCATGATGTTGCTCTCTCGCCCAGAAGGAACTTAAGCTGAACTTATCGCTGTGCAAAACCTCCGATTTATTTTTTGTTATTGTGATGGCTACAGCTGTCAGCCTTTAATTTATGATATGCCATGTGAACGATAAGCTTTGCAGATTTCTTTTTTGGCTTCTTTGACAATTCGAAATTTTTAAATAAAGAATATTTTTTGTTTTGAACAATTAATGAACAATTGCAGTATCAAATGCTTTTGTGGGGAGGCCAATGTACACTGGCATTGGTGTCAAAAATGTAGCATCAGGCGAATTATACATATACTTACTAGCGAGTGCTTCGTCAGCGAAAAAACCACCTTAAAATAGTTGATTCGCTCCAACAGTTCGTGTTAGCCATTTTTATACCCTCCACCATATATGGTATAGAGGGTATATTAAGTTCGTCATCCCGTTTTAACTCATCGAAATAATAATTTTAGACCCAACAAAGTATATATAATCATGATCAGCGTAAAACTCTAAGACGATCTAGCGATGTCCGTCTGTCTGTTGTAATCACGCTATCTTTCGTACGAATTAATATAGAAGGCTAAAATGTTATATACATGCATAGTTTACCCCATAAAACAGTACCTCCGGTATTCGGTATTTTGATGATTTTAGCGACATTATTTACCGGAATTATTTCAAATTTCATATTTGAAGTTCGCAATGGGTACTACAGCCTATGAAAAAATTTTGTATGCTGGTCCAAGTCTTCGTATAGCCCCCATATAACGGTACCTCCCGATATTCGGTATTTTGATGATTTCAGCAACATTATTCACAAGAATCGTTCGAATTTCGGACTGGAAGATCTTAATGGGTACTTCAACCTATGGCAAAAAATGTTGTATGCAGGTTCTCAGATCTTCGTATAGCCCCCGTATAACGGTACCTCCTGATATTTGGTATTTTCATGATTTTAGCGACATTACTTACCGGAATTATTTAAATTTTCGTATTTGAAGTTCGTAATGGGTACTACAACCTATGATATATATTCTTGATCAGCGTGAAATGCAAGACGATTTAGCCCTGTCCGTCCGTCCGTCTGTTGTAATCTCGCTACAGTCAAAACGAATTGAGATAGGAACAGATCTCTCTTTTGTCCGCAGGCAGTCCAAGTTCGTAGATGGCCCATATCGGTCCACGATATCGTATAGCCCCCATATAACGGTACCCCCCCCCAATATTCGGTACTTTGATGATTTTAGTCACATTTTTCAATGGAATTGTCTGGAAATCCATACAAAGAGTTCCTTGTGAGTACTTTATCCCCTGGAAAATAATTATATATATATAGACCCACGATGTCGTATAGCCCCTATATAACAGTACCCCTTAAAATTAGGTATTTTAATGATGCTAGCCACATTTGTCTGAAATTCTACGCAAGTTCTTTGTGAGCACTTTAACTTCTGAAAGATAATTGTCTATATTGGTCCACAATATCGTATATCCCCCAGTTGACGGCAACTTCTGATATCCATACAAGGAGTTCCTTGTGAGTACTTTACCCCCTGAAATAGAATTGTCTATATAGGTCCAAAATATCGTATATCCCCCATACATCGGGCCCTTCGATATTCGGTATTCTTAGGATTTTAACATATTTTTAAGGGATTTTATTTTTGTAAAAATGTCCTAATTCGTTCCAAAGGGTGGAGGACATTCAAAGTTCGGCCCGGTCGAACTTACTGCTTTTTTACTTGTTATGACTCAAAGATCTTGTTATGATATCTTAGACACCAACAGTGTTCGACAATTAGTACCACTTAATACTTTTCGTACAAGTATAGTACACATTTCAAAAACCATCAACATATCTTAACACCCGATACAATCAGAGACCTCAATATGAGGATTTTTTTTTGAGGATTCTAGCCCTATACTTTCAATTAATACCAAATTTAGTACCATTTAGTATTTTTCGTACAATTAACATACGCATTTCCAAAACCACCTCAAATTTGAGAATTTCGACTATATTTCCTCAACCAATATCAAATTTAGAACCATTAAGTACTTTTCGTAAAATTGACATACACATTTTCAAAAATATCTCCATATCTCAGGATCAGATACCATCAGTAACCAAAATGTACAATTTTTAGAATTTTATCTTCATCCCTTCACCCAATACCAAAGTTAGTACCATTTAGTACTTTTCGTACAATTATGGTACACATTTAAAAAACCCACCTCCAAATCTCAATTTCAGATACCTCAATATTAAATTTGAGGATTTCAGCCCTATCCCATCACACAATAGTAAATATAGTAGCATTTAGTACTTAACGTACAATTAAGGTACGCATTTCCAAAACCACCTCCATATTTCAATTCCAGATACCAGCAGAGACCTCTATATCAAATTTGAGGATTTCAGCCTTATACCTTCACCCAATACCAAATTTAGTACCATTTAGTACTTTTCGTATGGATATAGGACTCATTTCCAAACCACCGTCAAATCTCAACCTAATATCCGAATTTTGTCTCTATCCTATTATAGTTCAGTTTTCTAAAACCACCTCCAAATGGTACTATTTTAGTAGTTTAATACCAAAAGTTCGAATTTCGTATTTACTTTTGGTACATCTGTCCTGTACTCCATCAGTGACTCTCTTTACAAATTTCAGAATTCTAGCTTATTCCGTTTGGCCAGTACAAAGAATATAATTTTTAGTACTTTTAGTACCATTTTTTAGTAGGAATTTCCAAAAAAAAACAGTTCTAGGGTCTTCAGATGTAATTCGAAACATTTTAAGTGTAAGTTGAGAATTATATTTGTAATTCGAATTGTAAATCGAAAATTCCAATTGTAATTCGAATTATTACATTAGTAATTCGAGAATTCCATTTGTAATTCGAATTATTCCATTTGTAATTCGAATTATTCTGATTATATTGGAATAATTCGAATTACTATTGAAATTCTCGAATTACAACTAAAATAATTCGAACTGCAAATGGAATTTTCGAATTATAAATCGAAAGATTCGAATTGCAAATAGACTTCTCAAATTACAATTAAAATGTTTCGAATTTCAACTGAAAAAGGTGCAGATGTTCTGCAGTAGGTCTTCAAGCTATTGAATTCCCTTAAAAGGTCTTTAGGCTCTTGAAGGCCTCTGAAAGTTTTTCTGACTCCAGATGGCCTTTTAGAAAACTTCCAGAGGCCCTATGACTCCAGGAGACATTTAAAGGGTTTTCAGAGTCTAGAAGATCTTTAAGAAGCCCTTGGGTCCTATATGGCGTTTAAATGCTTTCTAAAATCTAGATTACCTTTAAAAGATCTTCCCGCTCATAAAACACTTGGACAAGGTCTTATGAACATAGAAGACTTGTAGCAAGTTTCTGTAAATGTTCGAGCCGGAGAGGGTATTCTCTCCAATCAAGACAAAATTATATATTTTCCATAGAAGATGGATTAATGTGTAATGTCCATAGAGGACTTGTACACCTATTCGGTTCACACTGGGTGCCCCTTAGTATTATTACCAAACATATAGCAAGTTCGGAGATGGGCAATAGCGGTTCACACCAATCTATAGCTATCTCCCCTTAAAAATTCAAAAAATTCGAAAAAAAATAATAAATTTTTAAAATCAGTTGAGGAAATTAGACGAAATCGGTCCACACTTTCTGGCACCTTCCCCCACAAAGGGTTAATATTTTAAATTATTTAAATACTATGAGAGTAGTCGATACAAGTCAGCAGTTTTTCTCAAAAATTCTAAAAATATGTGGAATATGGCGGTTTACTGCTTCGGTAGTAAGAGTCAGAGTATTAATAATTTTAAGTAAATTATTTATTTTAAAAAAATGTCTTAAAAATTCACTTTTAAATTGTTTATTTAAAAATAATTAAATAAATAAATATTCTATTAAAAACTCATTTTTATTGAAACCCTGAAAAATAAAAAAAGATAATTTATTTTATTATCATTTATTTCTGGGATTAAAATATATTTGAAGGGAAATAAAATTTTACAATTTTCCGGAAGTACATTTCATTACAACATATAATCGTAATTGTTTTTTTCTTTCGAATTTAGCAGCCTTAACCATTTCTATTTCGAACAACCCTGGCCGCATTCATCCTTTTCACAGATATCACACAGCGATGACTTGACCTCATAGTAGACCGTGGCCCTTTGCTCCGTATTGTAGTAGTCGTAGACGGTTATGGCAGCCGGCTTTTGCTTGGCCACGGCATGTGACTTCTCGGCAAAGACGTCGAAACACACCGGTTCAGCTGCCTTCAAACTTTCGAAATAGACAATGATTACCGTTTCGGAATTTTTCGTTTCAACGCGCTGAACTTGATTGGCGTTGCGTATCTTATCGAAACTATCCGAATCGGCCGTGAAACCGGAGGGTAGAGAAATTTCCATAACAGCCATGTTTGATTCTTTGAGTTGACTCTCAGGGCCTGGCTGATATTCGGCACAGACATTCATGAGCAGCTGATGCGAGGTGGGGGTTTCCTTCAATTCATGTTTGATGGCGAAACTGGGTTTGTCATCCCTTGTGGCCAAATTGTAACGATAGGACAACTGAACTAGACACGAACCCTGACCGGTGGCTGTCATCGAGACTTGACGTGATGATTTGGGTAGCTGAGAAAATAAAAAGAGAGGGGGGGGGGGGGGGATAGAGAGAGAGAATAAGAGATATAAATTAAATTAAACAAAAAATGGGTAAGTAAAGGGTGATTTTTTAAGCCATTATATATTTGGCAACACTGGTTTAAACAACTCACACACGTTTCGAGGTTTGTTTCACTGTCACACATTTTTCGTTTGGTTTGTAACCCTTTGCAACAAAATTCATTTTTATACCCTACAACACTATGTGTTGAGGGTATTATAAGTTTGATTGGGCCAAAAATTATGTAACACCACGAAATATTGATTTCCCACATAGGAAAGTATATATGGATCTTCCTATCTCGCCGAGCTGAGTCGATCTAGCTATGTATGTCCGTCCGTCCGTCTGTCCGTCTGTCCATGTTAATTTGTAATCACTCTACAGGTCGCAATTATGGTCCGATCTTCACGAAATTTAAAATGGAAGTGAGGCTAGGGTCAGAATAGAACCCTATTTCTTTTGGTGATGATCGCATAATATTTAGGGGTTGAAATGGACCAAAAACTGAAAAATTTGCTGATTTTGCACTTGCTCTACAGGTTGCAATTATAGACCAATCGACGCGGAATTTCGCATGTAGCTAGAGTTTAGGGCTGGCAAGAAGCCTACCCATTTGGGTGGTCATCGGATAATATTTAGCGGGTAAAATAGACCCTATCTTTTTTGTTAAAAAAATTCAAAATTTTTCATTAAACCGCGAATATTTTAAATCGCGGAGAAATCACAAAGCCATGACAAGGTTACTCCTGATCTTTACATTGATGTTAACATCCAACAAAACGGATATATAGCAAAATATGTGCGATATATATGTTTATCAATGAAGATATGCTTGAGAAATCTCTTATATGTCGAGAACGGCTGAACTGATTTCGACAGTTCTCATTAATTCAGAATGGCCTCTTGATAGGAAAGAAAAAACGTCGAAAAAAATCGCATAAAAATATCTCTCTAAAGATGAAAATATTGATTTTGTAAAATTTCTCATATTTTTTCAATTTTGTCATATTTTTGGCATATTTTCATTTTGAATTAAACATTTGGTAATATTTCTACAGCTAACAAAACTAAGTAGTTAGGATATCAGGATATCATATACAGATCGCATTTATGGCCCGATCCTTACGAAATTTTGCATGGAGAGGAGATGAGGGTCAGAATAGAAGCCTACTCTTTTTGGAGATGATCGCCATATATTTAGGGGTTGAAATGGACCAAAAAAACTGCAAAATTGACAGCAGGTCGTAATTATGGGGGTTATGGGACATTGCAAAAGCCAAGCAGTTTTGGATGACCATCCAAAAATATTCAATGTGTGAAGGAGTTTGCCAACTTTTATAGACAAAATACGAAAATGTCCATTCCAGTCACTTTTTGGAGAATTCACAAATACAGGAAAGACACACTACTGACTATTTCGTTAAGGCTGATTTCGTTGAAGAATATAGTCAAATGTCTATATCTCATATAGATGCGTTTCAGTCAAAAACCAATAATAAATGTTAATCTTTTGCCACTTCTGAGAGATTATACGTCTTTGGGAAATATTGGTTCCAGATCTTGGAAGACCATTTAAGTGCAACATCTACCATGAATTGGAAATGAGCGAATTAGTTTATGTTGCTATTATTCGAAAATTAGAGAACGAAACCTGATGGTTTTCTTTTATTATTTGTCACAATATCTTGTGGAATTCTTTCGAGTATCTCGCCTATATAAACTGTATCGTTTATTATAGTGTTGTAGGGTATTCAACGGTCGGCCCCGCTCGACTGTAGCCTTTGCTTACTTGTTTTAATTGATAAAGGGAAAATCCAGCAGAAAAATAGAAATCGGCGTTTGAATGTTTACACCTCAAAATAACCAAAAAGAGGGGACAAGTTTCCCCCTCTCCCACAATTTTGGAACATTTCGGATTGAGATTTCTCGGAATCCATGGATTTTAGGTATTTATTGTCTTCGGCAATTATTGTAGATACAAATTCGAGGAATATTTCGGTTGACAACTTTAACCCTCAAGCGAGTCAACCCTTTAAACGGCACGGTGGCTAGTCAAAATATTTCTCATAAAATTCTACTATAGGTTCCAAAAGACGCTCAAAATCTAAGTCTTACCTAAATGCCAGAAATTCATTGATGCTAAAAACTCATTTTAGGGTTAAAACCCTTATTCATGTGAGTTCATGCAAAATTCTCGTACAAAATAATATTTTAGAAGATTAACGTTAGAGACAAAAATATTCTTCATCAAATTTCACTGTTGGTTACCAAAGAGAAGAAATCTCTACTTTCAATATATATCAAGAAAATATATGCATCAATGTTGCCGAAAAAATAAGCAAAATTATATCGTATTTTTTTTTGAACAGTTTTTCATTCGACTTTTATCGAGTTAGTGCATGAAAGAAACATCAAAATTTATTTTAGGCAAAAAGTGCCAAAGGAAGAAATATTCTACACAAAATTTTTCAAAAAATCCTAGAATAACTCATATATCTAAATTTGATAGTTTTTAAGAAAATTATATTCGAATTCGTAAATCATATGTCCAAGGCATGTGGTTACATTTTTTACATCCAATTTAACGCGTTTCTATTCAAAGTCAAAATCTCCCTTAAAACTTAACTTTTTGGAGAAAGTATCAAAGGAGGATATATTCTAGATCAAATTTCACTAAAAGTCGCCAAAGAAAAGAATTCTCTATTTCCATCATATATTAAGAAAATATTAGCATCAATGTTGTTAAAAAAATCGAAAATATTTTTTATTTATTTTTATTTTATTATTTTTTTAACTATGTTTCCTCGCCTTATTTCGAGTTAATGCATGAAAATGACATACAACTTCATTATATACGATAAGTGTTAAAAGAAGAAATATTCTATACAAAATTTCACCATAAATTTCGGAATAACTCATATATCTACATTCAATAATTTTTAAGAAAATTGTATTTAAAATTCCTAAATCATATATCCAAAGTATATGTTTGCATTTTTTTTACTTCCAATTTAACGCGTTTCCATTCAAAGTCAAAATCTGCCTTAAAACTTAACTTTTTGGGAAAGGTGTCAAAGGAGAATATATTCTAGATAAAATTTCACTACATGTCACCAAAGAAAAGAATTCTCTATTTCCATTATATATCAAGAAAATATTTACATAAATATTGTTAAAAAATGCAAAAATATTTTATAATTTTTTAATCAATTTTACATGGGACTTTTTTCGAGTTAATGCATGAAAGGGACATAACTTTTCATTTAGGGGAAAAAGTGTCAGAAGAAAAAAGAAGAAGAAGAAGAACATTTTCCACAAAATCCTAGAATAACTCATATATCTGAATTTTATAGTTTTTAAGAAAATTATATTCGAATTCGTAAATCATATGTCCAAGGCATGTGGTTACATTTTTTACATCCAATTTAACGCGTTTCCATTCAAAGTCAAAATCTGCCTTAAAACTTAACTTTTTGGGAAAGGTGTCAAAGGAGAATATATTCTAGATAAAATTTCACTAAAAGTCACCAAAGAAAATAATTCTCTATTTCCATCATATATCAAGAAAATATTTACATAAATATTGTTATAAAATGCAAGTAATATTTTCTCATTTTTTTTTTATAAATTTTACTTGGGCCTTTTTTCGAGTTAATGCATGAAAAGGACATAACTTTTCATTTAGGGGAAAAAGTGTCAAAAAAAGGAATATTCTATACAAAATTTCACCATAAATTTCGAAATAACTCATATATCTACATTCAATAATTTTTAAGAAAATTGTATTTAAAATTCCTAAATCATATATCCAAAGTATGTGTTTGCATTTGTTTTACTTCCAATTTAACGCGTTTCCATTCAAAGTCAAAATCTGCCTTATAACTTTATTTTTTCGAGAAAGTGTCAAAGGGGGAAATATTCTAAATCAAATTTCACTATAAATCGCAAAAGAAAAGAATTCTCTATTTCCATCATATATCAAGAAAATATTTACATAAATATTGTTAAAAAATGCAAAAATATTTTCTAATTTTTAATCAATTTTACATGGGACTTTTTTCGAAGAATATTTTTGTCTCGGACAATATCCTTCTAAAATGTTGCTTTATAGGAGAATTTTGCATAAACTCACACAAAGTACTGTTTAACCCTAAAATGGTGTTTTTTAAGGTATATTAATTTCTGGTGTTTAGTTGAGAGTTAGACTTTTGATGTCTTCTAGGACCTTAAGTAAAATTATATGGCAAATAATTTTGGTGAAATATAGCCCTTAAAAAATCACCCTTTGCCAAATATCGAATATCCAATATTTTTTTCTATATTTTCAACTTACCACATGTGTTTGCAACAACAATGCATTATCCTTGTCCACCTCAATCGTATCCTTAGTGGTCTCGTGGCCCTCACCATCCTTGGCCTCGAATGCAATGGACATTTTGCCATCACCTCCGCCAACGGCCATGAAACGTTCGGCAAATTTAATCAGAGCCTGTAGACCGACCACGGTGTCCTGTGTGGAATCGAAACCACCCAAACTGTTACGTTGACCCACCAACCATTGTACGATGGGTAATAGTTTTCCAGCTTCTTCCGTCTCGACCAAGGACTGTAGAATGTAGGAGGTCACCTCAATGTCATTTGAATGATCCTTGTTGGCATTCGACCACCATTTTAGGCCATTCTCAAATGTTGAAGATTTTTCCAGTTTCTCCAAGAGTTTCGAGGCATCCGGATGATGAACCTTGTTCAATACCACACCAGCGATTGCCAGGGCATAAATGTTATCCTCTTTTTCAATGTGATCGGCAAGGTATTGCAGGGCTTTTTGGATTTGGGGTTTGTATTTCGAGGCATAGTCCTGCAGAAAGAGAGAGAAGAGAGAGAGGATAGTTTTTTTTTTTGAAAATATTATTTGAGAGATTTTTTTTTAACTTACCGTATCCTCCAGGAAAGCCAGCAGAGCAAAGGCCGTAAATCCAACATCATTTTGATGGGCTGGATGGAAAAGTTTACCCTTTTGTGGAAAATGGCCATCTTCGGCCTGGGTCTTGGCCAGGAATTCCAGGGCCTGATCAATCACCGCCGCATCAATGGTTATGTATTTACGGGCCTGTATAAATGAACGTGCCACATAGGCTGTTAGCCAGCTATTGTCCTCACTGCGACCCTCGCCAAAGGCACTGTAGGCTCCATTTTTATGTTTGTAGGTCAATTCCCTTTGATAGCCGGATTCCATATAGCTTTTGGCCTTCTGGGCAATCAGAGGCATATCCTTTTTAATGGCATCCAAATAGTAAAGAACCAAAATATTTGGCACAAAATTCACCATATTCTGTTCGCCACAGCCATAAGGCATGCGCACCAGTTTGTCGATGTTTTTAATGGTGGGACCCAGAATATCACCCACAGCTGAAAATTCCAAATATTCCGAATCCAGAACCGCATCCTTGGGAATGGGAGCTTGGAGTTCATGTTTGGCTGATCCCTGCTTGTCGGGTATATTCACAAAGATGGCATGATTTTCGTAATGCGTTACACCCTCCGGTTCCACCTTGAGCTTTTGATGTATGGCATCTCCGGCCAGGGCACTGATGGCCTTGATTTTCAGTGTAATATCACCCACTTTGTTGGGTCGTATCATAAAGGACACCGTTTGACCACCATTCGAGGGTACAGTAATACTCTTAGTTCTCTGTTTCTCCTCCAACACCGATTCCTCAATGTCATTTGTGGCCTCGGTAAAGTCATACTCCTCATCGGTATTCTCCATTGTCACTTCGGCATCCAGCGATTTTTCCATGTAATTGAACACCACAATGGGTATGGAGATGACTTCGCCCCGCTTCACCGAATAGGGAAGGTTGGTGCTGATAAAGAAAGGCTGGAAGACCTTGATTTTGGTGGGATTTTCAGCCATGGCAAAGCCTGTTTTTTCGTTCATGGCAAAGCCGGTCACCACCCAAGAGGTGATAGTATCGGGAATCTTTTTGCTAAGTTTGGCCATGCCCGAGGCATCAGTGCTAAAGAGAAAAATGATGGTGGGGGAAAATTGAAAATAAAAAAACGAAATATTAGAAAAAAATCCCAACAACTGAGAGATACGACATAAAACACATACAAACACACAAAAAAGCTTTCATTCACCAAAAAATAAAAAAATGCAAACAAGATTAGTTGGATGAGAGGATGGAGGTTTAGATAAGCTTTACAAGCCCATGCCTTGACCAATGAGTTATGGGGAGAATGGATCATGCCGGTAATGAAAGGATTATTTTGTAAAATGAAATAAAGCAAGCAAATGAAAGAAAAGTAGAGGGAAATGGAAGGATACTTTGAAGAGTTTGTAGAGATTTCTGCAACGAGAAATTTTTGGTGGCCAAATCAATGGCACCACAACAACAATTCCTTTGAAGAAATGACATATTTGACGAGGAAGTTAAGATTTTGATTTTTGCCTTAAGAAAACTCCCAAAGCGTTTTCAACTATTCAGGGGCTCAATTCTGGGTCCCTGATAAAGGTTGAAAAATGCAAAATAAAAAAAAAAATATTTTAGGCTTTAAAATTTTCCAGGCACTGGATTCTTGTTCTATGAAAATATGAAACACGAGAAAATATTTCCTTTATGAAATTTTTCCTTTCAAAAAATTTGTCTTTCATATTTTCATAGATCGGTATTTTCTGCCCCCAGGTATTTTTATAAAAAAGACTAAATTCCATATACAACGAAAAATTCAGTCGGTATTACGAGAGATATATAACATCAACATTTGAAAATCATCAAAATATTTGGGAATGTTTTGTCGTTTTAAGAGAATTAATAGTCCATAATTACAGGAAATTCCCAGTTGATTATGAAAGAAAAATCGCGGAAGACATGGGTATCGGAGTTTTGAAAATTTACATAAGAAAGTAACGCAACTAGAGGGGACAAGTTTTCCCCTCATGTACATATTTTGAAATTTTTGGAATAAGATTCCTTGGAATCCCTGCATTTCTGGCATATAGTTTCTTCGGCAATATTACTGCTTATAATACGGGACTTATTTTGATAGCAGATTTTAACCCTCATGGGAGTCATTAAAGGGGTCTTTTTGGTCAATTTTTCAAAATATGATTAAAAACTCCCTTTTTACGATGTCGTAGCGGGTCAAAATATTCCACAAAATTATGCGTCATAAAATTCTACTATAGGTCCCAGATAATACATAATACGTCTAAATCTAACTCAGACGCCAGGAATTCATAAATACTAAAAAAAGCACATTTTAGGGTTAAAAACCATACTCTTGTGAGATTATGCAAAGTTCTAGTACAAAGCATCATTTTAGAAGGATTATGTCAAAGACAAAAATATTTTTCATCAAAATTCACTATAAGTCACCAAAGAAACGAAATCTCACTTTCCATTGTATATGAAAAAAATATTTGAAACAATGTTGCCAAAAGAAAAAAAACGCTAAAACTTTTTGTTTATGAATTCTCTCACGGCCTTTTTGTGAGTTGATGCAGGAAAGTAACATTAAATTTCGTTTTAGACAAAAAGTGTTAAAAGAAGAAATATTCTATATAAAATTTCACTACAAACCCCAACATAAATTATATACCTAGATTTAATAGTTTTTAAAATAATTACATTTGATATGTATATTTTGCAAGAGACAGTTATTTGCTCACGTGTTTTTCTTAACACGTTTCAAGTTTAAGTCAAAATCTCCGTTAAAATTTAATTTTTCCGGAAAAGTATCAGAGGAGGAAATATTCTATATCAAATTTAACTATAAGTCTCAGAAGAAACGAAATCTCTATTTCCATTAGATGTCAGTAAAAAAATTACATCAATGTTTCTAAAAAAACCCAATTTTTTGATCAAATTTTCTTCAGTATTTTTTCCGAGCTGCAGCATGAAAGTAATATAAAATTACGTTCTAGATAGAAGGTATTAAAAGAAGAAATATTCTACATAAAATTGCACTATAAATTTCAGAACAAACCATATTCCTAGGTTTGACAGTTTTTAAGAAAATTACATTCGAAATTTGTGTATTAGAAGAGAAAATTGTGTGATTAGATTATTTACTGCTAACTTAACACGTTTCCATGCTGAGTCAAAATCTTCCTTAAGGCTTAATTTTTTTTGGAGTTTTTATTGCGAGTTTTCGAACAACAGAAATTTTGGCAACATTGATGCAATTATTTTTTTTATATATAGAGGAAAATTTAGATTTATTTTCTTTGATAATTTATAGTAAAATTTGATGCAGAATATTTTTTTTTGACGTCATCCCCCTAGAATGATGTTTTGTAGGAGAATTTTGCATGAAATCAGACCGCGTTCTAATGTAACCCTAAAATGTGTTATATATTTAACGATGTCCGGATTTTAGGTAAGTTTTGGGATTTTGATTTACTCCAAGACCTAGAGTAGAATTTTGTGACCAACAATTTTGTAGAATATTTTGATCTGCTACGATCACATCTTAATGCAGTTTTTGAGCGCTTTTGAAGAAAAGGCCCTAAAAGACCCTTTTTATGGCTCGACTGAGGATTAAATCTAAAATGCATGGATTCCAAGGAATCTTAACTCGAATGATTTCAAAAATGTAAAAATTTGTCGGAATTTTCTCACCATATTTTTGGGCTACCTTCCGATGTAAACTTTTAAGAAGCCGATAGATATACCAGACGGAATTTTGGTAAAATTCTGTTGAAAATGAAAACATCTATTCAATTTGGGCTGATAGTCCATATATGGTGAGTAATAACCGTAACATCGGAAGAAGGTGTATATCAAAACTATATAAAAATCTAAACCGATCTCGATAAAATTTGGCAGAGGTATTTTCGATCAGTATCTGATGCCTGGTATAAAATATCATTGTTGTGGAAGGCATATTACGTACGTGAGGACTTTAAACCCTAAATCGGATAAAACATACATATGAGAGCAATAGCTATATTCGAACCGATTTTCAAAAAATAAGCCCATGCTTTTAGGCTGAATTCCGTCAGAATTGTCAACATTTTAGCCTATTTGGGATGATATTAGCCATTTGGTGCTCAAAAAACCTGAAATCGTATAAAGGTATTTCTAGGCTGATGCCCGGTATAAAATATCATTGTTGTGGAAGGCATATTACGTACGTGAGGACTTTAAACCCCAAATCGGATAAAACATACATATGGGAGCTATAGATATATCTGAACCTATTTTCAAAAAGAAAAAAAATAATTAAAATTGAAGCACATGCTTTAAGGCTGAATTCCGTCGGAATTGCCAAATTCAGTATTATTTTGGATTGATATTAGCCATTTGGTGTGCAAAAAATCTGAAATCGGATATAGGTATTTCTAGGCTGTATCTGATACCTGGTGCCAAATATTATTGTTGTGGAGTACATATTACGCATGTGAGGGACTTAAACACCAAATCGGATGAAACCTATATATGGGGGCTATAGCTATATCAGCAACTATTTTCACCAAATTTGATGTACTTGCTTCTAGACTGAGTTCGATCGGATGTGCCATAACTCAGCTCATTTGGACTAATATTGGCCATTTAAGGCACAATTTTCCCGAAATCGGTTGAAGATATATATGGGAGGTATATCTTAATCATGACCGATTATCTCTAAATTTCAATAGGGTTCGTTTTTGGGCCAAACAAAGTATTATTGTAGAATATCATCTTGATCGGATAATAAAGGCGACCTGTACTTTGTTTACAAAAATACATGGACAGACGGACGGACGGACATGCATAAATGGACTCAAGATGTGATTCTATGCAGATCATCAAAAGGAACTATGGGTCTATCTCGATTCCTTCTCTATGCTAAAAACAAATTCACAAAGACATAATACCCTGACCACAGTGTGGTGTAGGGTATAAACCATGGTAGAATAATATAGGTAGACGCATCGACTCAGCTGCTGGGACAATAAACTGTCAAACCAATTTTGGAATTGAAAATGTTGAATGAAAAATTATTTCAATTTGTAAAAATTGTTGAAAACGCGTATTATAATAACCTCCGAATGACATCGTATGCGAAAACATGTGAAAATCTAATTATATTTGAAAACACATTTAAAATATTTTGACACCTCAATATTCCCAAGCGTTGATGCATTTACCTGTATTTTTCTACCATGGTATAAACATAGCTTGGGTATATATTGTGTACACACGATGAGGAGGGCCGAAGGGCAAATTCCGATATTCAATCTTAATCGAAATTAATTATTCCATTGAGCTGGAATACAATTTCATAAAAAATCCCAATATCAAATACAAGAAGTGACCTCTAAGGATTTTATGCATGATGCTAGACAGTGTTTTTTTTTTAAATACATAAATTATATATCAAAAAATATTTACAAAAATTGAAATAGCTATTTACAAAAAAAAAAAAAAGTAATACAAGACTCCTTCAATTTGTGTACAAAAAATATATCAAAAAATTTTCAAAATCTTTTTCAAAATCTTTTGAAATATTTACAAATTATGGCTATACCAAAGATGTAGCGCCCAGAAATTCAATTTATATACATTAAATAAAGAGTTGAGATTTTCAAAATCTTTTGAAATATTTACAAATTATGGCTAACGCATAGAACTTGAGTCCAGAAAAAAAAATAACATTTTAACCAAAAAAGCTATTCACTAAATTTTGCGAGAAAAATTCATTTACTTGTGTCCATTCACATTATCCCAAATCCAAACATCTAAAAAATTGCTACGTATTTGTGTCTGGGATTCATCGTAGGGTGAATCTTCAAATCCCATGCCGGTGACAATTTGATGCAAGGGTTTATGACCATGTTTATTCTTCTTCTTGAGGGGTTTTAGAATAACTACAAAAAAAGAGAGTGGAGAATAACGGAGAGGAATGGTGAGGAAATGTATAAAAGAGAAAGACCCAGCAGTCCGCTGGCCATTACAATTTAATACCCATCCAAATGTATGCTATATTGTCAATAGGAAAAAATGAAATGACAGTGGTTAATAGCATACAA